CTCGTGCAGCGCGAGGAGCGCGAGCGCCTCGGCCGCTTCGTCTTCGCCCGCGATGCCAAAGCCGCCCTGGTACCCGCCGAGGGGGCGGCGCGGGGCCGGGTCCTTCCCCACCTCCGGGATGGTCCCACGGGCGGGGCTACCGGCCGCCCCGGTGGTGGGAGGGTGGGGGGAGAAACGGGGTGTTTGTGGCCCGCAGTGACCCCGAAAGTGTCCTGGGCCTGGGGTAGAAACTAGGAGCAAAAACACCGTGCCGCAGGTCATAGCGGGGTGACGTGCGCTGTGAAAGTGTGACCGGGTTCACCCAGAGCCCTCTGCGTGATTTATTTAGGTTTTAACTGTGACATAAAACTGTGGTAATAACACATGTTTCTGGTCAGTCAATCATAGTTAGTCATTTTTTAGCTCTTTGTCAATATTCCATTAGTGAATTAACTAGTACCTGTGTCACTGTAAAGAAAGGTCTTGATTAAGTTTTTACTCTTCAGTATAGTTTAAAAAGTATTTGATGTTGGGCCACTGTGCTGTAAAGTATCCTGGGTGATTAAATGAGATGGGAAGGGAGCTAATTTTTATGGCTCTTGTAGGTTGAGGCTTTTTTCATTGGGTCTTGTACTGAGTGGAGTCTGTTGCTAATAGTAATTTCAAATATGTGCAAGTCTGGTAAACTGTTTGGGGGAGTTTTATTTGGAAAGGTCTTTTGTAAAAAGTTTGATACATTTACTAAAATATAGTACTACTCTGTCTTGGCAGTAATAGCAGCAAACCATTTTTAGGCAAGTGGTTTTCTAGCAACTGCAAATACTTCTTGGTTCATAACATAAAGTTTTTGTGTGAATCCCTGTTATTCCATAGGCTGGCCGTCTGCTGATAAGGAAATTAATTGCAGAAAAGCTGCATATACCATGGAATGAAATATGCTTGCAAAGGACATCAAAAGGAAAACCTTTCCTGGCAAATGACCTACCCAGGACCTGTTCAAATTACAACTTCAATGTCTCCCATCAAGGGGATTATGCAGTTCTTGCAGCTGAACCTGAACTTCAAGTTGGCATCGATATTATGAAGACTAGTTTGCCAGGTAATGGTATTACTAAAGTAAATTCTGTAGCTTTTAAGTGCAGAGCGTTTTAAAGTTTCCCTAAAACCCAATCTGTGTCCTGGGAATTTAGGAACAGATCATATTTGCTTTTTTTTTTTTTTTTTTTTTTTTTATATACATACTTTCTAGTGTATGTCTATGGATTTCTGTAATGCCAGATACAGATATATTTGCAATTTAGAAAAGCAGAACCATGGAAAGTAAAGGTATGAATCCTTCTGTGAAACTCACAAGATATTTTAATTGCATCTTTGCCTAGCTGTTAAGGCAGGCAAAAGCAGGTATGGTTTTGCAACAAGGGACTGTCAACTTTGTCCCTGTGAGAACTTTATACCCTCTGACTTCAAATCTTCCTCCCTCATCCCCTAAGTGTGGGCAGGGTCAGCACCAGGCCTGGCCCTGCAGCCACGTAGGGGCAGAAGGACACTGCTCGAGCAGGAGTCTTCAGGGAGAGGAGATTCCCAGGAGCTGAAAAGCACTAGAAAATCCCCCTTGATAACAGGCTACACAGATACTGGTTTATTTATTTGTATGAAACTAAAGCTAACCTGTTTATATTAGCAAACTTCAAGCCCAAAGAGTAGATTAAAACGGTAGCAAAAAGTATTCTAAACACGGTTATATGAACATGATTTTGGTTCACAAATATTCATTGATGCATGACTAAATTAAAGGAGAAGCATACTGAGATTTATAATTTACTGAGATCTATAACTTTTTACAAACAGATTCTTAGAATTTTCATGAGTGTTAAAGCAGGAGGGACAGTAACAGATAGTCTCTCAGAAAATCTCTGCACAATCTTCAGTTTGTCCAGGATTTTACATTTATATTTAGAAATAGGTTTCTGAAGTATTTTTCCAATTTCAAATGTAAGGCATTCAGCTTGTAAAGGAATATTTAATTAGTTCTTTGGTTAATAGAAAAAAAAATATGTTGACTGCAGCTTTATCTGACTTACATGTCTACCACTTCCTTTGTTCTGTATTTTATCCTGATTTCTCCCTTATTCCTTTCTTGTTACCTGCACTGAAATAACACTTTTACTTTAATAACACATTAAAACACTGAAATAGTGGCTAACCTGATACACATTGGTCTGCTACTCATTCTGGAGGCTCTTTCAGAACAGGCTGAGGTTCTTCTACCTCGTAGCTGCTCATATCCTTTCTTCAGCCTCTAATCCTGGCTGTTGTAGGAGATGTGGAGCCAGTCACGCACTCCATACGTCTTGTTGCTTGCTTTTTTGTTGGCTTTAACAGGCTAAACTTTGGTAACATGAATATAAGGTATTTTTCCTATGATATTCTGGTTGCCACTCTGCTGTAGTAATACCGCTGTCTGGTTAGGTGTCCTATGGTTTCTGAACAGCAAAATTAACGTTGTTTGAAGGAGATATTGGCATCAGGGCAAGTTTAATCTCACCTAACAGGAAAAGAGGCAAAACAACTATTTTTTTTAGCTTATGAAAGCAGAGATGCAATATTCAACTAAGGTCTTGACCAGCAAGGGAAGCTTCTGCCAGTGCTTCCTAAAACTGCTGATGGCAGCAGCCCTGAGCTCCATCTGGAGAGGAGGTGGTGCCAGCTCAGCCTGTGAGCAGTTGCCCTCAGCAGCTGCGTGGCATCAACTTGGGAGTATGAGCTGGGGAGACAAAGTTCTGCTTTGACCTCTGCAGCAAACTGACTTCAGGGTTTTTACCCTAGAAGAATAGCGATGACTGTGCAAGAGAGGTTAACGATTCCAAAGACTGGGTGAGAGCATTAAGCTGAGGTTTCTGCAGCGAAGCAGGGCTGGGACAGCGGGTGCCCAGGCGACCAGTCTAACATGGGCTTGTGGCAGCCCCAGGCTGCTGGGTTCCTGGACGTGAGGCCTCTCGTGCTGCTTTACCCACTGCCGCCTCTTGCCTATCACAGAGATCAAAGCACAAAGTGGTAACAGAAACCGGGGCTCTTGGGGCATCCCCAGTCTGCACTCATGGAGACCAACTCCTCCGTATATACAGGGGAGCACGCAGCACAAAAAAATGCAATCCTAAAATTCTGGGGTTATGTTCCCAATTCATTAAGTTCTGTAGTTACCAGAGTCTCTCCTTCTGACATAATTTAGCCATCAATAGCCTGTATACAGCACATCTCTTTTGCCCTCTGCTAATGAGAAGAATTTTAATGCTTGCTGTTACATGTGTAAGAAATAAGCTTGCCAGAAGTGTGTCAGCCCCTGCTGATTCTTCTTCCACGTTATGTAATTCTTTTATAGAAAGGTTTGCAAATTCTAATGTAGTTATATGTCGTTATGGTACAGATTACAGAATCCTTAAAGTTAGAAGGGACTTGTAGAGATCATCTAGTCCAACCCCTCTGCTCCAGCAGGGACACCTAGAGCATGTGGCACAGGGTGGCATCCAGCTGGGTTTTGAAAATCTCCAAGTCACCTTTGACCTTCACCCTACTCCTGCCTAGTAGATATTTAGGGGAACACATGGCAAGATCACTGACAGTTTGACTTTGTGTGCCTTCTACATATCAAAATACTGTTTAAAACAAATGTTATGAATATCTAAAACAATTAGTGCATAATTAAAAAAAGAAAAATCAAACAGCAGTACTTAGGAGTGGGCCTACACGCTTTGTTTCCTTTCTGAGGTAAACTGATGGCATTCTATAAACTGATGGAATGAGAGAGTTGAATTGAGAAAAATGCACTGAAAAGCAGTGGGAGAACAAGAGGGAATAAAGAGAGTGATAAAGGCACCAACGTGGGGTCTCGCTCCCAGGGAAAACCATGTTTAGACAGACACTGAGGACAGAAATCTGGATGGTAATGACAGAAATGACCTTGCTAAGAAGTAGAGACAGCAACAGCTATAAATTCTACCTCCTTTCAACAATATTTCACAAAAATATTGAAAGAGTATTGAGGAAAATGTAAAGCAAATTAAGGGCACTTTTTGTAAGCTCTAAGACTTTCAATAACCTATGAGATTCTTATAATTTTATCACTCCTAACCTGCTTTTTTTAACTTCCTTTTACCCTCGGTCCTACCCCCCACCTCTTTACCCCTAAGTCTTACTCCCCCTGTTTACCCTCAGTCCTACTGCCCTTCTTTATCCTCAGTCTGACTCCCTTGATTTGCCCTCACTCCTACTCCCCTTCTTTATGCTCAGTCCTATTCTCTCTGTTTACACTGGGTCCTATTCCATCTGTTTACCTTAAGTCTTACTCTTCCTGTTTACCCTTGGTCCTATTCGCTCTCTTTACACTCAGTCCTAATCCCTCTCCCTAATCCCTGCGTCCTACTCCCCCTCTTTACCCTCAGTCCACCTCCCCTTCTTTACCCTCAGTCCTACTGCACAAGGTGGCGTGCCTGACATGGGGCCCTAATTCACCAGTTTTAGCTGTGGCCTCATTTAGGCATTTGGCCAAGTGATTTGCGTAAGGTTAAACCCCTTCAGTTTGCATGTTTTTGTCTTTTGGTAACCACAGGAGTCTTTTTAAAGCAGGGATTTTTTTTTTGTTAATATCAATTCAGCTCCACTGATATCAGCAAAATTAAGGAACCTCTTGGGAACTGACTGCTGGCTACTGTGGGTGGGTGCACTGTGGTGCCAGTTAGATCGTTTCTGAGCATTTTTCATGGTGAGGCCCTTATTGGGGTGATCCAGGCTGCGCAAGAGCTTGTGGTGCTTGATCTCCAGAGAAGCAGACTCCACAACCTCTCTTGGCAACCTGTTCCAGTGCTCCGTCACCCTCACCCTTAAGAAATGTTTCCTGAAGTTCCTGTGGAACTGTTGGTGCTTCAGTTTCCTCTAATCTAATTTCCTCTAATCCAGTGATGGTGACCATCGCTGAAAAGAGGCCGGCCTCATCCTCCTCACTCTCTCCCTTGAGGTATTTATATACACTGATGACATCCCTTAGCCTTTTCCAGGCTGAACAGGCCCAACTCTCTCAGTCTTTCCTCGTAGGGCAGATATTCCAGGCCCCTGATCATCCTTGTAACCCTGTGCTGGACTCTCTCCAGCAGCTCCACATCCCTCTTGTACTGTGGAGCCCAGAACTGGACACAATACTCCAGATGCGGCCTCACCAGGGCTGAGTAGAGGGGCAGGATCACCTCCCTCGACCTGCTGGAGAGGCTCTTCTTAATGCAGCCCAGGATCCCATTGGCCTTCTTGGCCATGAGGGCACACTGCTGCCTCATGGTCAACTTGTCGTCCACCATGTCGCCCAGGTCCTTTCTGCACGATAAAATATGATCTTGCAGTCTTTCAACAGCCTTTGTTTATGGCTATACTGCCTCCTTTTTTAAATAATAATTTGTATTTTTGGAGAAGAGATGCAATAATAAAAATGTGGGAAAATAATATTATTAATAAGCAATATTCAGTCTGTTTTTTAATTGTTTCTATGCAGTTTCTTTCTGATGAACTACTGCTAGTGCTTTTTTTTAACATAAAATATTTTTCTGAGAAAGTTTTGTCTTACTGGAATTATCTGGAGCTGCTCTTACTTCTGTGCTATGAGTATGAGATAACTTTGCCTTTGCAGGTGTTGCTTTTTGGAAGTTCCACTGAGTGGTGCTGTTGCTCTGCAGTTGCCCAATTATAGTTCTGTAAAGTAGGCGTTTGCATAAACCCACTTAAATCTCATTCCTTTAGAGTAGCTGCAAGGACGAAGTGCATTATAGTATTTTTTTTTTTTTTAAGCACTGTATGCTTATTTAAATGCAAAGAGCTACATTATTACACTGTGGTGCTATCCATCAGAATCTTGAATTTGGTCTTCGATATTCTGCTACTTACGTTCCTTTATTGTTCACCCAGTTTTGCATCCCTGGATCTTATATTTCGTTGCATCAAGCAACTGCAAGTTTGCAAAATGGTATTAAATTGTATGTTAGCATGTTCATAAGGAGACCTAGTGCACCTAACTATTTTATAGCGCTTCTTAATCAGTGCTACCTATTTTTGCTTTTC